ATATGGCATCAATAGAACGTAATAAACTCAATAGAATGATATATTACACTTCAAATGTGCTGTACATTTCCTCATACATTAAATGTACAGCACATTCACATGCTATGAATGCAAATCTGCAAGACCCTGTATGTATCTGCACATACACACATTTATGTACAGACACTCATGCACATACGCATTTATTTTTCAATACAAGCAAAACTTTATTAAATGAGGCATAAGGGTTAAATAGCATGATGGATATTGATTTTAGTATTGATCACTCTCCACTCAACATGCTTATTTACCTATGAATTTTTGCACAGCTGGCTCATGAAGCCCTTTGCGGAAACTGGCAGATTGACCCCTGAACAACACACCTATAACTACAGATTAAGCAGTGCACGGTCGGTTGTGGAAATGGCTTTTGGGAGATTGAAAGGACGGTGGAGGTGCCTCCTAAAAACCTGCCATTCAAATGTTTGTTTTATTTAGTTCTGGTTGTGTATGATGCACATGTTATGGCTGCTACTCTCCATTGTTTTTGCTGTTTTGCTACTTACCTGACTACTTTTACCTGTGTTTGCTGGACTACTTCATGTCACCAATATTGTTTAATCCTTCAGTTCATTAAATTCATAGAAATGATTATAGCTGTCATGTTCTCATTTCTTTATAAACACAGTGACTGAAGACATCTATGAAAAGCATCTTCATAAATGGGTAACCCCATCATTCCAAGAAACACACTGGTGTCAGTCTCCAGCTTCTGCAGCAGGGCATCATTCAGGTCCTTGCTGTGTTGCAAGAACCTCTCATCTGCCCTCTCCAGGTATTCCAGCAGCTCTGTGTTGCTGTCTCTCTTCATTTTCCCTGTGTACAAGAATAGAAGAATCAGTTTAAAAGTTTTTCATTAAGTCATAAGTAGATAAACACAGGTTCAGCAGTACAATGTAACAAACATGTCAGCTCAACAATCAGCACTAGTCTTATGACACAGTATACAGACCTCACACCATATCCAAATGAGGATGTGGGTATAAAAGTAACAGTGACAATTGTGCATAGTATTTGGGGGCGGCAGTAGCTCAGTCCATAGGAACTTGGGTTGGGAACCGGAGGGTTGTCTGTTCAAGTCCCCGTCCGGACCAAAAATATGGAGCGTGGAATGGTAGCTTGAGAGGTGCCAGTTCACCTCCTGGGCACTGCCGAGGTGCCCCTGAGCAAGGCACCGAACCTCCCAACCGCTCAGAGCGCCTGTCATGGGCAGCCCCCTCACTCTGACATTTCTCCACTTAGTGCATGTATAGGTCCAGTTTGTTCATGTGTGTGTTTGGACCTGTGTGTAATTGACAACAGAGTGAAAAATTGAATTTCCCCTCGGGGATTAATAAAGTATATAAAATTAAATTAAATTATTGCTGATTGGAGTATGTAGCAGCCCTGGTTCAATGGCAGCAGTCATGGGTGGTAGGGATTGTGTATGAATGATTGTTCATTTATCACAGCACACATTTATATTATCAAGTCATACTTTTAGGTAAGGTACTTTTAGGCCCAGTCCTCCCTCCCAGCAGCAGTCAGAGCAGGAGACGTTAACCCCTCCATGTCCAGACTGCAAGTGAATCGCGCATGCGCGGAACCGCCGCTGGCTGATCTATCGCTCTGATCCCGACCTGGTTTACAGTCAGGGCGGGATGTAAATGTAAAATTTTCTTTGTGTAATATAAATCACTGAAAGAAGGTTCA